TAATATAAAAAATAAAAGTTTTATTTTTTGTTTAAATTTGCTTTATATTTTTAATTTTTTTTTTTTTGAATTCAAATAATATAATAGGTAAACATTTATTTTTAAATATTATGTTTTTGTATAAAATGAAAAATATGTATTAATGTTTTGATTGAAAATATTTAATTAAAAAAAAAGTTTAAAAATACATAAAAAAAACTATATTAGAATTAAAAAGAAAAAAAATCAATTATAAAATACCGATATTATAACATATAAAATAAATTAAAAGATAAAAAATATTATATTATTAAATGATTTAATAAAAACTTTAAAAAATAAATACTTTTATATATTTAAAATTATTATGTATACCCAAATAAATAAAAAATAGTTATAATATATTTACGAAACTTAAATTTAATAATTTAAAAAAAAAAATATTAAATAATAAAAATAAATAATATTTTATAGTTTATAAAATTATTATTTTTATTATTAAAATATTTAAAACATTTATTATTCGATAATATTATATTTAAAACATGAAAATAAAATTAAGTGGTTTAATATTTACATAAGAAAAATAAAATAATCAAAACTCCATTTGGAATAAATAAAATATGCAAATTAACATTTAAAGTATAGAATAGGATTCTAATTAATCTTATTTTTATAAAAGATCAAAGACATTAAAAAGATTAGTTAAAAGATATTACTATATCCATAAAAACGGATTATATTATACATAAGTAAAAAAGAATATTTATTTAATAAAAAAAAGACTCTATAATTTATATTACTTTTTATAAAATTAATAGTTTTAATTTTGTCTGTGATTTATTTTAAAAAAACTACATAAAAAATAAAAAAAAGGGGGGGCTAGAAAAAAACATATTATGCACTTTTTTTTATATTGAATTTTTTTTTAAAAAAACAAATATATATATATATAAATTATATAATTGAATAAAATATATACTTTTAAATGTAAAAAAAAATAAGATATAAAATAGCATTTTAATAAAAGGTAGTTTATGTTTAAATAATGTATATGCAGAATTTTACGAATCTAAAGTAAAAATATTAAAAAAACTCACTTACGTAATATGCTTGAGATAAAATTAATTTTATGTAGAATTATTAACTGATAATACTTAAGTATATAATTAATGGTGTTCTTCTTTAAGAAAGTTATGTATAATGCTTGATTTTAGTAGTGAATATTAAATAATAAAAATGATAGGAAAAGGTGGTTTTTCAAGGGTTTTATTAAAAATTTGAAAAAATAAATATAAATATATATATATATAAATATATATATATATATATATATATATATTTATTTATATATATATCATTAAAGGTATTTTTAGCTTCATTTAAAAAAAATTAGTTATAATTTGCTGTTAAAATAATTAGTAAAGATTAATTACTTTAATAAGTAAAAGGATTTGTAAAAAATTTAAAAATAAAAAAAATAAAAAAAATAAAAAAAAAATATGTATATTAAGAAATCATTATAAAACGAAATATAAATAATGAGAGATTTGGTTTGGTCCTAAAATTGCTTGCATTTATTAGAAGTTTATGAAACTGAACATTCAATAAATTTAGTTTTGGAGTTTATTCGTGGAGGTGAATTAATTAAGAGAATTTAAAAAAGGAAAAATATAAATTATAGGATGCTAGATTGTTAATGAGAAATATATTATTTGCATTATAGGATATTCACTCTATAAATATTATTCATAGAGATTTAAAGCCTGAAAACATACTTTTGTATGATCAAAATGATTAAACAAATATTAAAATTGCAGATTTCGGACTTGCTACATATGATAATTCTGTATAATAATCTATGCTTTATAAAAAATGTGGTACTCCGGGTTTTATTGCTCCTGAGATTTTGTAGGATAATAGTAATTAAAATAAATTTTATAATAATAAAGTAGATATATTTAGTGCTGGAGTTATATTTTACATATTGTAAAATATAAAAAAATATTTTATTTGTATTTTAAAAAATAAATAAAAACAAATATTATAATTTTTTGTTATTAATAAGTATATTTATTTTAAAAAATAAAAAAGATTAACAGGTGAATAACCTTTCAAAGCAGCAAATAATAAATAATTAGTTGAAAAAAATAAAGCATGTTAAATTGATTTTTCAATATTAAATTAAAATAATACTGTTCCAAAAGAAGGTAAAAGAATAATATATATATATATATATATATATATATATATATATATTTATTTTTATATATATAATTTAGCATAAAATCTTATATAATAAATGCTTAATAAAAATCCAAATTTTCGGCCTAATGTATAGGAATGCTTAAATCACGCTTTTTTTCAAGATTATTAGGAATTTATGGATACTACTTTAATTATTCCAGGTTTTTAGAAGTAACAATTATTAAATGAGAATAATATTTCTTAGAATGGATTAAATTGTTTTAAAATTTAATCAAACATTATATCTAAAAATTCTTGTAATGAAATTTATTGGATTTAGCCTATGTTTAGAGGATAAACGGCAACTATAAATACTGTAACATATTTATCTTAGCTTTAAATTTAATAGTAAAATTAAGATGTAGATATTAGATAAAAGCATAAGAGTTAGTTTGCAAAGCCTACAAACGAAAACAATTAGTAGGAAAATCTGAGATAAAAGAGTATTAGTGTAGATGTTAAATTTAATAATAGTGGTGAATAAAGAAATAAAGATATAAATAATAAAAATTTTGGTAATAGTATTAAATTATAGTAATAACAAAACTAAGTATTATAAGAATTATAATAAATTGTGTAAGAAAAATAATAAATAATATAAGATTAATAAATTCTTTTTAGAGAAAAGGATAATAAAAATAACATATTTTTAAATTCTTCTATAAGAGAGGTTTCATTAGTTTATAAATAAAAATTAAGAAAAAAATCCTTTTTTTTTAATTAGGAATTATAAAAATAGAATTATATATATGATAAAAATTAAGAATAAAAAGAAAATAGCATAGAAGCGGATTATAGGGTAAGTGAAATTGAAGAAAATACAACTCATTTTTATAATTTATAGGTCATTAGTAGAAATTTAGAATTTAGATATAACCCTTTTTTTAATAATATATATATATAATAAATATGAAAAATTTATTTTTAGTTAAAATATAATTATATATATATATTATTATTATTAATTTTTTTTTAATTTATATATAACTTTTTATTATTTTAAAATTTTTTTTTTATTATATATTTGTTTGAGATTTTTTTTTTAATATAATTTTACATTTTGCATATGATTAATATTTTTAATATTATTTTATAATAATATAGCTTCTATTTATTGAAATTATTAGATTATTTAAGTTATTCTATTATTATAATCTTTTTTCTTTATTGATTTTATTACATGAAGAAAAAAAAATACTAATATTAGTTTATTAAATAATGTTTATTTTTAATTTATTGTATTTTAATATTGATTATTTTCTGTAATATTATTTGGATATTTTATGTTAAAAATCTATATTTATTTGTTTAAAAAATATTTTATAATTTTTCTTATATTATATAATATTTATTAATTATATATTTAATTAATTTAAATGTAAATCAAATATAAATATGAAAAATCGATTAGGACTAAAATATATAAAATAAAAATTTTATAAAAACTGAAAAAAAAAGATATTATTTCAATAAAAATAATGAGTTTTTTTCTAAATTCTTTTATTATTAGAAAATAGACATATATTTTATGTATTCTGTTATACTTTAATCCAAAAAATTTACATATATTAAATATATATATAAAAGAAACCATTTTTTTTTTATTATTGTATTAAAATTAACACTCATTAAAAAAAAAATTATATTTAAAAATATAAATATATAATAATTATATATTTCTAAAAATTTCATAAAACTTATTAAAATAAAAATTTATAGTGTTTAAAAAAATAATTAATGAATAAAAATAAAATAATAATTATAATTTATAATTAAAAAAATATATATTTATATATTTATATATATATATATATATATATATATATATAATTTTTTTCTTCTTCTTTAATTAGTGTTTTTTCTTATTTAATTTCATTTTTTTTAATTAAATATTTAAAATAAATTTTTAAATAAACATTTATATAAAATTTCTCTTATCTAATTTAAATAAATAAAGTTTTCTAAAATGATAAGAATTTTTTTAATTATTATATTTTTTATGAATATTTTTATAATTGCAAAATTATAAATTTAAGAAAACGGATTAGAAATAAAAGAGTATAATTTAGTAGAATGTAAAATACACGATATTTGTATAGAATGCTCATTTTAAGAATTTAAATAAATAAAAGAATGTAAATAAAATGGATTTATATAGACATAATTGTGTTATTACGAGAACAAATAAAATTAAAATGATAATTATGAAGAAATCCATTATATAAATTGTTAAGATAAAGACGTTGGAATATTTAGATCAATACATTTTTTTATAATATTTGTAATTATCGGATTTTTTATATCAATTTATTTATTAAATTAAAAGAAGAATTAATTATAAAATTAATGGTTAAATTCAATTAAATGAAAAAAAAAATATATAATTAATTAAAAGATATAAAATTTAGAGTATATATATATTTTTTTAAATAAAAATGTTTATTTTTGTTATGATATTATATAAAAAAAATATATTTTATAGAATATTTTTTTTTAATTAAAAAAGATTTTTTTCCTTTTAAATAATTTTTTTATTTATATATATAAATAAATATATATATATTTATTTATATATATATTTTTCTTCTTAATATAATATAAATTTTATATACTTTTAGAAATATATATCAAATCTAATAATTTTTATTTTATATATAATTATTATTTATTAGAGTTTTATGAATTATTTTAAATTAATTTGAATTTAATAGAAATAATTAATTTTATTTAAAAAAAAATGAAAAATTTGTTTTTTAAAAAATACTTAATTTATTTATATTTAATTAACAAATATGATTTATTTATAAATAAATGAAAATTATTTTAAAAAAAAATAAAATAATATTATTTAATATTAAAATTTTAAATTTTCATATTTTTATTATATAAAAAATTAAAAAATTTCTATTTCTGAGAATTATACTAAACTACTAATAAGGAAACCACACATAACCATATATATATTTTGTAATTTTTACGAAAACCAATTTATTTGATAATTTCGTCTAAAATAAAAATTTAAAAATTATATAATATTCTATAATAAGACATTAATTGCTACAAATTTTACCTTAGTATAGTAAAAAAATAAGCCTGTATTTTTAATGATAAACCTAAGTAAAAAGTGTGAAAAAAGAAAGAAAAGAAAGCAAATAATATGGAAATCATTTCTATAGTCTTAATAAAAATAAGAGAAATTTTAGATACCTATTTATTTCAAAAACTATATAAAAATCCGTAAAAACAGGTCTTGTCTATTTAAACGAATTTTTTTTGAAAAAACTATAAATCTACTTTTTAATTTAAGAATTATTGAACGAACTTTGTATCTAAAAGAAAAAATAATATATAGAAAGTCTAATTTTTTTAAAAATAACTAAATAAATACATATTTTTAATAGAAATAAATTTAAAAAAAGAAAAAAGAATTCGTATTTTATATTATTTTAATAAATAACTAAAAATATAAATATTTTTACATAAAAATAAATAAAAAATATATATTTATATAAATAAAAATTATCATTAATATTTTTTATTTTCCTCTTAAAAATATTACTTCAATACTAAAAAAATAAAAAAATAAAAAAAAAATATATTTTTCTTTAAAATAAAAATTTACATTCAATTTTCTCTTATGAATAATAGTTATCAAATCTAACATAATATTCTATATATAAATCCCCGGATCTTCCTTAATAATTTCTTATAGGCATTCCTTAATTCACAATTCTTTCAATAAAGCCTGGAGAAGTAATTTAATTCCTTTCGATTTTCACATAGTTATCACCTAAATGTTAAATTTTCTTTTTAAATCCCAATAAAGCTTCCTTTAATGAAATTTCTAATTTATAATAAAGATCATATCCTTTTCTAGTAAATTTAGGGTGTGAAATTTCTTAAATTTCAAAGAAAACATCAGAAGGTGAACTATCAAAATACTCGTCTCCTGCTCCTTCAAATTTCTATATAAATATAAATATATATTAAATTTTAATTTCTTTTTTATGTACTATATATTCTCCTGATAATATTCCTTTTGGTATTTTAATTAAAAGCTCGTCATGTCCTTCAACACTCTAATAATAAATATAAATATATATATATGAATATAAATATAAAAATAAATATAAATATATATATGAATATTATTATATATATTATTTTTTTACCTTTTAACCTCTACATGTAGGACAAACAGAAGTTACTATACGTCCTTTACCTCCACATTTTTCACATTAATGTTAATATTATTAATAATATCCAGGCGCTATTTATTATTTCCGAATAAAATTTCCTTATCCATTACATTAAGGGCAAACTTTTACATCATTTGGACTGTTAGCACCTAATCCTCTACAATGTGGGCATATAGTTTATTTAGTAACATATACAAGTATTTCATTTCCATTATATATATCTTCTAATGTAACTTGGAGCTTAATTCTTAATTAAGGACCACGTCTTTCAATATTTTTTCTTGTAGAATAAAAATCTAATGGATCAGTATTACTGCCTGGAATTCGGTTTTATAAATGCTATTGGACTCCTTTTTCACCTTAAGAATCATAAATTTTTCTTAATGTACGATCCTTTAATATTTCATATGCTTTAATTTTTGTTTATTAATATGTAAATATAATTTTTTAATTTTTTGTAACCAGTGTTTATTTGTTAAAATTTTTGTTTGGCTTCTGCGGATTTGTTCTTATCAGGATGATATTTCATAGATAGCCTTCTAAATGATTTTTTTATTTAATAATCACTTGATTGGGGCTAGATTTCAAGTATTTCATAATATGTTTAGGAATAGTATAAGCATATTTATAAAATAAAGAAAAATATAATTTTTAATATCATTTTATTCTTTCAATTATTTTATTTATGTGTAAAAAAAATATATATATATGTTTAATTATATATATATATATATATAAATATATATCTTAAAAAATATATATATATATATATATATTTTAGTGTTTTATCTAAATAATTCTAGAAAAATATTATTTTTATAATTATAAATTTTCTATTAGTATATATAATATTATATTTACTATAAATATATAAAGATTGATCATTTTTTAAATTATGATAATCTTATATTTAATATGTTTTCATGTAATCCTTTAGAATTTTATTTATAAATATTTTTGAATTTCTATATATAATTTTAATAGTTTTAGTTTTTTTAATTTAATAAATAAATATGTTCATTAGATTATTAATGTTTGTTTTAATAATTTGTATATTACTAAACATCAGTCTATGTTTATTTATCTTATTAATTATTTATATTATTATTAATATATTATTCTTTAGTAATTATATTTGTTTAATCTTGATTTAATATATTAATTGTACTATTTAAAAGAAGGTCCTATTTTAATTATTCTATAATTTAATCCTCTTATCGTTTTTTTTTATCATATATGTTTTCTTCTATTAGTTATTTTTATTATAATACATTATTATTTTATTTGTTAAAATTCTAAATCATATTTTTTTATGAATGTTGTTAAAAAAAACATATAATAATAATTTTTGATAATTTTTATATAAAAAATAATATATATTTTATACACTTTATTTATATATAATATATGTTTAAAAACATGAAATAAACCACAAAGTAGTAAATTGAAAATATTAATACTTTTAAAAATAAATAATAAAAATTATATGTATGATAAACTATATATTAATATATACATATAAATAAATATATATAAAAATATATAAATATATATAAATATATATTTTTTTTTTTCGAATTACTTATTTTTAATTATAATAAATAATTTAAATTTATCTTTCTTTTATTTAATTTTTATGTAAAAATTAATTTTTAAAATAAATATTAGCAAACAATTTATTTTATTTTCTTTTTATTAGAATATTAGAATAATGTTTATAAAAAACAAACACATAATTATAGAAATATTGAGCTTTCTTTATAAAATAATTCATATATTTTTTTTTATTAATATAATCAAAGTAAATATATTAAATTTTAGAATATTACAAAAGCTTTTTATATCTTTTATATTTTAAAAAAATATACTAACATATCTTGATTAATTTTAATAGTATTTTTACATAAAAATATTTTTAATAAACTTTAATTAGGTTTTAAAAATAGAAAATTTAAATTTGAATTTGAAAATATATTGAAAATACCGGTTTAAATTAATTATAAAATGTTTTTTAAAGAATAAATATCTTATAATTAAGAAAGGAATATTTCTATATTTATATAATTAAGATTATTAAAAATTTAAAATAAATAAATACTATAATAGATTATAAATATTTCAATATATATATATTAATTCTTTGCCTAAAATAAATTTATGTAGTTAATAGTAATATATGTAATCAGAAAATAATAAAATATTAAAAATATAAAAAGATTTTAAAATATATTTTAATATTTTTAATAATTAAGCAAATTAATGAAAATAGATAAATATATATTAATATGTTTAAAAAAAAATATTAATATTAAAAATATCTATTAAATAAATGTGATATTTTTTTTTAAAATTAAACAATCTAAATAAAAAAAATTAAAATATATGATTTATATATGCAATTGTCATTACATTTAAATGTATAAAAATATAAATATAAATTTAATATTTATTTAAAAATATTAAGATATAATAAAAATAATATAAATAATTATTTGAAAAATAAACTAATGTAATTAAGAATAAAATAATTATATATATAAATATATATATATATATATATATTTGTATATATATATATTTTTATAATTATTTTTTATATATTTATATATTATAATTTGTAAAATAATAAAAAGAATAAATATTAATTATTCAAAATTCTAACATTTATATATCTTATTTATATTATTTTTTAGATTTTTCTAATTTATCTTTATCCCATTTTAACTCACTTGCGAAAATTTCACATACAGTCTCAATCGATTTTTCCATTGCTTTAGAATCTATGAAACCTAATCTCATTCTTCTAAGAAGAATATCAGACGGATATTAAGCCATTTCATATCTTATATGATATAGTACTTCTGCATTTATATAATTATAATCTGGATGTATTTTTTATTTAAGGAATTTTTATTATTTAATGTTTTTTTCTTTTTTTGCCATTTATAAAATGTCTAAAGATCTTATTCCATAATTTTTAAATAATTACTTAGCTACATTAATTTAAATATCATGTTTCTTAGCTAATAATTCTGCATAAGTATTTATATATTCTTGCCTATTAGGAAATTTATATTTTTAATCTTTATTTGCTTCACCTAATAATCTTAAATTACATGTGCTTTTATTATTAATTTTTTAATCTGGTTCTATATTTTATTTTTTACAAAAAAAAAAAATATTAAATATAAATATATATTTAAATCTTAAAATCTATATATATATTACTTTTTATGATTTCTTCTATTTTATTAACTGTTTCTTCTCCCATTTTTCTATATATAGTCCATTTTCCACCCATTAGTGATATTAAACCTTAAATATAAATATATATATAATATATTTAAATATATATATATATATTAATTTATTTATATATATTTTATTTACCATTATCTGATACTTCAATTACATGTTTTCTAACTATTTCTTTAGTATCTTAATGTTATCCTGGAGTTTTATTTTCTAAAATTAATGGCCTTATTCCTGCCCATTTACTAGAGATATCTTTTTGAATTTATTCTTATGATATTCCTGTATAAATTTGAGAAAGTTCTTTGGCCATAAAGGAGATTTCTTTTTCTTATACTTTTGGGTCAATTATTGGTTCATCCAATGATTATTCTGTTGTTCCTATAACTTAATACTTTTACCAAGGTGCAACGAATAAAACACGGCCATCTTCTGTTTATGGGATTAACAAAGCTCGGTTTTAGATCCATATTTGCTCGGGAGAGTTATATGTGAACCACCTACACATAAAATTCTCTAAGAGCAATTTGGATTGTCCATTTATCGGATTTAATCTGAAAAAGTACCAGTACAATTAACTACAACCTTCGCTTTTGCTTAATATATTTAATTTGTAGTTCTATCTTGGAAAACAACTCCATTTATTTTCCCTTATTAATTTTTTAATAGATTATTTACTTTAGCATAATTTAATATATTTCCAGATTAGAAGCCTTTGTTATATTATTCAATTGTTCCAGTGAGTAGAATATCCATATTCATTCGTGAATCGTTAAATTAGCCATCGTAATAGACTACACCGTATTTATATTTTTTACTTAAATTGGGAAAATATGAATTTAGCTTGTCTTTAGAATATAATTCGGGTGAATTAAAACTAAATCTAGTCTAATAATCTTTATTTAACAAATATATTAAATGATATACATAACAACCAATATAATAATAGCCAGCTATAAATATATTAGTCGTAGGAATTACAAAAGGAGTTTACTTATTCATATAATATGCATTTTCTATAAAATAATTTCTTTCTGTTAAAGCTTCTTTTACTAGCTAATATTTTTCAGATCTACCTCCTTTAAATGTAAATTCAAAAACTTATTGTAAATATCTTAAGCCTCCGTGTATTAATTTTGTAGATTTGGAAGATGATCCGGAAGAAAAATCGTTGCCTTCTAAAAGTAAGCATTTAAGCCCACGGTTTGCGGCTTCTAAAAACACACCCGAACCATTACAACCACCACCAATTATTATAAGATCATATTCGGGGGTTTATGTTATTTATTCAATATGCTCTTTTCGAGATTTTAGTTTTACTTAGAGATCAGTTCCAGTATATTCGAAAGGTTAAGTGTTTATTTTAGGGCTTTCTATAGTTTTAGCATAAACAGATATGGAACCAGAAGTCGTTAGTAAAAAAGGAATTGCTAGTTTACGCTTAAAAGGGATATTTATTAAAAATTTAAACATAATATTTTTATTTAAATATAAATATTTTATATTTATAATTTTATATGTATTTTTTGTTTTTTTTGTTTAGTTTTGATTTTTTTTTTTGAATATTTTTTTTTTTGAAAAATATAATAAAAAAAGATGTTAATATAAAAATAGGTCAAATTTAAAGAATAATTTAAAATTTTAATTTTATTTTGTAATATATTATAATTTGCATTTGTATTTTTTTAAAAATATTTATATATTTACATAAATATCTTATTAATAAATTTAGATCATATTTGAAAAAAATATATATATAAATAAAATAATAATTATTATATAAATTAAAAAAAAATTTTGCAATATAAAAATGATTTAATTAATATATTTTTATAATTATTAATTATTATAAAATAATAAAAATATTATTTATATAATAAAATTATTTAATAATATCATTTATTTTATATATTTATAATATAATTAATTATTTATATATAATTTTACTATTAAGAATATTAATATTAATATAATTATTTTATTATAACTATTAAAAATAAATAAAAATTTTATAGATATTAATTTTAATAGAAACAAATATAAATTATTTATAATTTTTTAATAGACTTATAAATTGTTATTAAATATATTATATATTTTATATTAAAATAAATATAATTTCATATATAGATATAATTACTATAATTTATAAATAAAAAAAATAATATATATATATATTAAATATATATATATATATATATATATATAAATAACATAATTATAATAATTAAACTTAAATATAATCTAATATATATATTATTTTTAATATTTTATAATATTTTAAAAAAATAAATTGATGGTACATATAAGACTTTTCTTTTTTTAAAAAAATAATATTAATATAATTTTCACTTTTTTTTTATAAAACAAAAAATAACAAAAGAAATCAGAAAATGTAATCAACTCCTATATAAAACAAACTTCCTCAAATAAAAATTAAAAATATTTGCTAACCTATAGACAAAAAAAGAAGTCAATATAAAGATATGATATCCCAATTTCGCCAAAAAAACAATCCTTTTTTCCAAGGATATTTTCGTAGTACATGTACAGAATACTTAGGATCTTCTAAAGAAGTAAAAAACTAAGATAGATTAAATTAATTATAAACTATGTCTACTTTTAAGCATTCTTGTAATACGTATTTGAATTCAACAAATAAGAAAGTTGAAGGCGTTAAAAATTTAAGAAGTAAATTTAAAAAAAATAAAATAATAGAAGAAATAATAGAAGATAAAGAATTAATTATAAAAAACAATGACTTATGTAAAAATATAGGAAAATTATGGAAAAGCGATTTATTGAAAAAATATGAAACATAGATAGTAGTTCTTAAAAAAAATTAGTATATTAATTATGTTTATAATGATTATCATTCAAGGGAAACGAATCCTGGATATGCAAGAAATACTATGGGATGTTTTTATTGCAGATGAAAATAAAAAAATACAGACATATATATAAAATAAATATATATATATATATATATATATATATATATATATATATATATATATATATATATATATATATATATAATATATATATTTATAATATTTTTATATATTTATAAGTATTTTTTTATCATATATCCTCTTCTTCGTCTTCTTCTTTTATTTCTAAATTTTTTATATTTTATTTATCTTCAAATTTATTATTATTTAAAATTTATTAATGTATTTTTTAATCAAAACTATTTTTTTAATTATATATTCTTATTCATTATTATTTTAAAAATCTTCATTTTTTTTTTCTTCTTCTTCTTCTTTTTTTAAACTTAATTTTTCCATATCAATATTAGATTAGTTATATTATGAAATAGATTCTTTTATATTTTCTGTCTGAGATTCTTCTTATTTGTATTTCACAAAACATGTATCTACCCAATAATCTATAGATTTAATATGAATTTAATTTTCATCTACAAATTCGAATAAACCGCAATCTTCTAAAAGTAATTTTGTAGCATTAGAGACTTATATCCTCCCCTATTATCCTGTACTTTCCATTTTATTAGCTATAACAACATCTTTTCCGTATATATCATATCTTACAATATCTGTTCCTATGACTCCTCCTATTATATTTCCTGTATGTACTCCTATTCTCATATCTAATTCTTCGAATTTGACTTAAGCTCGTACTTACATGATAGTATCAATCATACAAAAAGCCATATTAACAACATTTATAGCCTCTTCAGCAGGATTTCGTTTCCTTATATCCGTAAAACCTATAACTACGTAACAATCTCCTATTGTATATAATTTAAAGACTTCGTTTTCTACAGAATATTTATCGAATTCGTAAAAAAGCTTTTTTAACATATTTACTACTTATTCAGGTTCAACAGAACTCGAGTATTTAGTAAAACCTGCAATATCAGCAAATAAAATTGTTACATTTTCAAAATAATCTACTAATTCAAGTTTTTATGTTTAAGGATTATTTAAAAATTTATCAAGAACTAAAAAATATATATAATAAAATAATTATAAAATATAAATATTTATGTATATATATATATATATATATATATATATATATATATATATTTATTTGATATTTAATATTCATAATTATATATATATTTATATTAACATACCATGCTTTGGTAATAAATTGCTTAAAATCTAATTTTATTCTTTAGCTTTTTTTGTTAGGTTTTTTAAGTTATTATATGATTTTATATGCAGTTTAAAAAAAAGATATTAAAAAATCAAATGGGCAAGGCCTATTGTAAAAACGAAATAAATTATATCACTTTCAATTTGTTATTATAATGATATTATTATCCATGAAGATACTAAAATTAAATAAAATACAATTAAAAAACTGAATTCTAGCATATTAAATGAAGATAAAACTATATAGAACAAGAATTATTCTCCTAATTATATTTTAAAAATTGCAGATTTCATATCTAATTCTTATTCAGGGTATAATATAAGAAAGTTTTCTGCTATTAAAACGCTGAGGAATGCAATCATTGTTATTTTAAGAATTTTTTTGAACCTTTCGAATGTAATCACGAAAATTCGATCTCTTAAACAGTTAAAAAAAATCAAAAAAAAACACATAATTGATCTAAGAATAATATCTATTAAAAAAAAATCTCCAAAAAAATCTTTAATAAGAAAAGTAATTATGGTCTTTAATAGAAAAATATATAATAAACCTAAAAACTTAATTTTTATTTATTTTTTAGTTTATTATAATATTTCTTAATAAAAGAATAATGTATCTTCCTTTAAAGGATCTAAAGACAAATATAAAGATTTTTAAGTTAATTATAAATTATTATCTTTATCGAAAGTATTCTAAATATTATATATACAATATAAATAAATATGAATATATTATATATTATTATTTTTATTTATTATTTATATACTCTATCTTCTTCATTTGATTCAAATAATTCATTTATCATATCCGAATCGATTTCTAATTATATATTTTATATGTATTATATGTGTATTTCTTCTTTTATTTATTATTCGATTTTATTTATATTAGTTAATTGATTATTATTAAAATTTACATTTTAACTATTTTTTGAATGTAATGAATTTTTAGACATTTAAGGTGTTTTATTTTCTATAATTAATTTATCTTTAATAATATTAGTATTTATAGATTTTTCTTTATTATTAAGTTATTAATTCATTAGAAAAGTTTTTTTTCTTATTTAAGTCTTTTTTTTATATTAATCATTAACTTTAATAGTTTCGACTGTTAATTTTAATTTTTATAGAGATACATTATTAGTCGAAATTCCATTTTATTTAAAATTTAACTTTGAGGCTTAAGTTGGAGAATTCGAATAAGAGCCTTTTGGAATCATTCTAACTGAGTGTTTATACATTTCCGTTTTTTTCGCCATCTTTCCCATTTATCCCATTTTAGAAATTTAATAAGTCAACATTACTCCTTTTCCTTTTGCTTCCACTTCTTTTTTATTATACTTAAAATTTACCAAGTTTTATGTCTATATTTTAGCAAAAGCAGCTCCAGATATTGTCATTCGACCATCTTCACCCGTTGACATTACTCTAGAAGTTGTATTTATGGTGTCCCCTATCAATGAAAATTAAGGCTTATGGTAACCTAGGACTCCTGCGATAACTCTTCCGTAATGAATTCCGATTTTTACACGCAATTTTTCACCATTAGGACCCCAAGATATTTTTTTGACGTACTCCATCATGTCAAATCCAAGATTTATTAACTTTTCGATAGAATTAAATTAATTCTGTTTTTTTTTAATGTTTAATTCTAAATTTAAACCAGAAGCACATACATAAGATTTACCGACAGTTTCAATTTTTGTACATTCATTTTAAGAACATAAAACGTCAAAATTTCTGAATAAATTATCTAAAAGTACTACTATTTTCTCGTTTTCAGATTCTAATATACTATCGAATTCACAAATATCACAAAATAAAACGCCTACTTCACCTTAATCTTCTGATAATTATATTTAACCAGCTTAAAATAAATATAAATATAAATATATATTATATATTATATATATATATTTATATATTTTTATATAATTTTTTTATATATATATTTATATATTTATTTTAAATTTAAAAACCTTATGCTTATTTTTTATATTTTATTTTTTCAATATATGAAATATATTAATTTTATATATAAATTTACAATTAGATATTCTTTCACGTACAAATTTAGGTAATAAAATAGAGAGTATATTATTTATTTTCTGGCTTTCGATTCTTAATTTATTTTAACTTAAATAATCTAATCTTATAACTTTTTCATACTTTATATATATAAATAAATATATTTATTTATAATTTTACTAAGTATTTATTATATATAAGCATTAAATCAAAAAAAGCTGTAAGAAAAATAACAGAAACTAATATATAAACTTTAACATTTCCTAATTTTTATTAAGAGGATGAAGTTATATAATTAATAATATAAATAATTGTTTATATAAAGGTGGCATATATAACAAAATCTGGTCTTCCTTAAATGGAGAAATTAGAAAATAATATATAAAGTATGCTTTCAAGGAAATTATTTTGTTAAGAAATAAAGTCAATGGATATTTTAGATAATATACGTATAATAAACATCCCGAAGTTTATTTTATAAAATTATTCTTCTCCTTTACTACTAAAAGAAGCTATACAAAATATTCCTATTAAAATTATTGTGATAGTTAAGACTATTATTTATTTTAAATATAAACTCTAGTCACTTTTTACTAAGTATTAAATTAATATAAGTATTTCTAATAAACATAAAATAGCTAATTAATTCCATTTATTAAATATTAACCATGTTTTCATTAAATTCTATTTAAATTTCTTCTCTAAATCAGAATTTTTAAATTATAATGTAGTATTATTCATATCGGAACTTTATTCGGTAAAATCATCATTTTAAATCACTATGTAAATAATATATAAATATTAATATATATATATATATATAAATTTATATTTATATATTTACTGTTTTTTATATATTTATATATTTTTACTATTTTATAATATTATATCCATATTCTATTCTTTATCATTTGGAAAAATTTTTGTTATGACTTAATTTATTATACAAGTTAATTTTTTACTTTCATTTCTTGCTATATATTATTTTTACAATTAATTTTTATTTATATTTTCTTATTATTAATTATTTTTTCCTTTATAAATATTAAATATAATATATAAATATTTTAATATAATTAATACCTGTAATAATATTATATTTTTATGTTTATCTGATAATATTTTAAGGAAAAAAAGCCGAAATATATGGAAAAAATTCTAGGAAAATATCCACTGCAAAAATTAATAAAAAAAGACTAATTAAAACTAAAAACATGATTTGTTCTTTGAAATAATCTTTAAACTCTTAAAAAAAAAAAGAATTGTCCTTATATAAATCTTCTAAAGGCGCATAAATAGCACAAGCAATAAAATAAAAAAATACAGTAGACAATGTTTCCTTATAATTTTATTTTTAAGCTGATAAAATTTTAATACACGAAGAAATTCCTACACTAAAAAATCCCAAAGATGACATATTTACAATAGTATACGTTTTTCCTTGAGTTGTCGTTATAAAATTGACTGCATAAAAAATAACTAAAAAATTAAAAAGAGCTTCCAAATAAGAATGGAAAATAACTTTATAAAAAAAGTGGAGAATTTTTTATTTTTTTATTTAATTTCTATATATAGAAAACTACTTAATTAAAATATCCATATTTTATGTATATTTATGCTTTTTAGTGTATTTTTTAACAAAATAACTAACAATACCTACTAAATAAATAATTGAATGATAAAAAAAAATCTATAAAGCACTACATAAAGAGCTCCCGTATGTAATTATTTATATATTAAAAAACATTATTATATAACCCATCACGAATGCCCTATAGAACGTATAAATGAGTAATTCCTCATATATTTCAGCCATAAAAATAGCGTTAGAATATAAAATGTTGGATATACATAAGAAATCATTTACTAAAATATCCCCTAAATAATCTATTTTATGTTACTAATTTTCCATTTAAATTGATATATCGGCACTTTTCATCATATCATAATCATTATAACTATCTCCTATGGCTAAAGTTCGTGGATTATTTAAAAATTTCTACTAAACCATTCTCACTAACCAGCCTTTTTATGAAGTAGAGAGATTATATCCTATTACTGAGGAGGTAAAGGTACATAAAAAATAAAAGTGATTGCGTAAATAATTATCTGAAAATATAATGGTTAAAGCTTCTGAAGATACTATAAGGGAAAAAACATAAGGCTTTTATTAAGGGTTAAATGAAAGAGTCCTTTTTCGAGTCTCACTATTGGTTATAGAGTTATTTTTGGGCTTCCTATAGTATTACATTTAATAATTATTTATATTTAATTAGATAAATTGGAGTTTTCACTTCCGTTTCCTAAATTATTCCCGTCTTTTGAATTGGCTTCGTTTTATTTAAAGAGATTTTATTTTTAAGACGAATTGAAGATATTTTACATATATTTATTATATGTATTCAAATTTTAGGGAATTAATTTATCCAATTTCCCCTCATTTTATATAGCTGTTAATTACTCTCTTATTAAGTTTTTTATATTATCGTAGTTTCTTCCTTCTAAATGGACTAATTATTAATTTTAGTCTATTATACTTGAGGAATATCCAATAGTTAGGGCATTTAAATAATTATCTCCTGTCAACATCCATACATATTTCCCGCCTAATCGCATATTTTGGATAGTATTTTATGTATTTTTTCTTAGTTTTTCCTATATTCCGAAAATGGCGACTATTGTTAAATTTTATTCGATTTCTTCATAAAGTTTATGGAGTTTTTATTAATCTTAAACTAAGTTTTTTTTTAGGTTTTCGTATTGGCGAAGATATTCGTCTGATTTTTCGTCGTTTAGCTCTTTTTTGCAATATATTATGGGCCGCATCCCATTCTAGATCATAAATTGAACTTATTTTTCGAATAAAGATTTTTATTGTTTGTCTTTGAAAATTATATTGGAAGGTATTTCAGAGTTTTAGAGGGATATTTTGCAGTATAGAATAGAGCCACTATTAGGAAATTGGCTGTTTGCGTCTCGGAAAAGGACAGAAAAATAATTTCGGTTTATATTATATTCTTAAATAGAAAGAATTTTATATACTACATATGTATTCTATATTGATAAAACATAGTTTGGAGAATTTATTTAGTTTTTAAATATTGAACAGCATTTAAATTCATAGTTAAATATATTCGCGAATTATTATAGACATTTTACTTCTTTGCTTATATCCCTATTAAGTATTTTCTATTAAGATGTATCAAATGTACTTTTCATAGAATGACAAATTAATATACTTAATAAAACCTCATGGTGTTATTTATCGTAGTCACTATTTAATAAATCAATAAAATTATTTTCATCTAAATATGCTTCTTAAAATTAACTATAGTATTTTATATATTCCTTTAAAAAAATATATGTTTTATAAATAGTATCAAATTTAAATTTAAAATATAAATATTTAAATATTTATGAATATACATACATATATACATACATACATACATACATACATAAATAAATATATATATATATATATATATATATATATATATATATATATATATATATATATATTATTACTTAATTTTATCCATTCATATTCTGATTTTATTTATTTTAATTTTAAAAATAAGACTTTTCTCCTATTTTAGACAAATTTTAATTTAATTAATTATAACTAACTGAGAATTTCATAAGGTCTTTATTTTCTTCTATATCTTCTTATTCTTATAAATATGATCTTTAATTTATAAAAACGAGTTTATCTTTAGTATTTTTAAACTAAGGGACATTATTTAATAATTGTATTTATTAATCTCCTATGTTTGTTTAATTATTGCTATCCTTTTCCTCAGCTATATTTATATTTTCATTTCCTTATTATTCAGCTACACTTTTATTAAAATTTTTTGAACTTAAGAATTTATTTTTGATAATTTATTAAGCTACTTTTAGGTTCATATTATATATTCTTCCATCTATAATTATCATTTTTAGGTCATATTCTTCACTTTCAGTAATAGTCCCTGTTTTATCTAAAAATACATAATTAGTTAATGAAAGATCAGCTAAAGATACGCTTTTTAGAACTTAAAAGTTATTCCCAACTTAATTATTAGTGTTATTTTAGCTGAATTTTTTATAGTATTTATTATGATACATATCATTAACAAACTCCACAAAATCAATAATAGTATAAAAAAAAATAGGCATCATATGTAAATAATCCAATATAAAGGAATAAAAAACATAAGAAGGATCATCTGAAAAACCCACAGAATAATTAATTTAGTTCAATATATATAAAAAAATAAGTGAAATTGAAGAACATATTAATATATAAATATATGAAATTATAAATAGAGTCCTTATTTTTTAACCGAAAAAGGAGTTTATTACCGAATTATCATTTTCTTCTTTCTATAGATATATTTTACAATTTTTACCCGCATTAATTACTAGTCCATATAACCAATCCCCATATATAAGCTTACTGCCTCTAAAAATTACGTTAGTATGGTTTATATTCTCACCTTTGGGATCATTTGTCATTTTTAAAAAACCATTAAATTCTTTCCTTTTTGTTTATCGTGCATATTCGATTTTTCCTGAAAGTAATTTCCTATATTCAAACATATTCATCTTTAATTTAGAATGGACAGACACTAATATATATATATATTATTTATATATGTATATTTTTTTAAAAGTTATAAAAATTATATACCAGAAGTTAATTGTGCTGCTGTTTTTATTATTTAATTGTTTTTTCCATTTATTGCTTCCTCATCTACTGTACATATAGATTACCTAGTGTCTAGAATTAAAAGATCTGCTGGGGCAGTTTCTCCGGATTTAAGCCATACAATATTTCCTACTTCTAATTATTCCCATCTAACTTTCTCTAGTATTTTTACAGTTTTTTATTATTGAGAGGATTTTAAATTATTCAATTGTTTAGTTTATATTTTATTAATTGTTTATTGATTATTATTTGTAGTTTTTATTTATTTAATATTACTAATAGTATTTCTCTCTTAATTATAATTAATATTTTCTGGTATTTCCTATTCTTTTGATTGTTAGTTTTAAGATTCTTCGTCTTCTACTTAATTTAAGATTTTGTTTTTTTTGAATCTCGAAAAAATGTAACATTCTTATTTATTTATATATTAAATAATATCTTTATCTTTCTCTAAGTTTAATTATCTCAAAATAAATACAAATAAAGAAATTATAAAAGGAATTACATAAACTAATATTAAGTCGCCTATTGTAAATGAAAAATATTACTTTTATAATTTCTCGTTTGTTTCTAAAAGAATTATTCCAGTTAAAAAATTGAAAAAAACTATTAATGTGCCAATTCTTTCAAAATATATCATTATTTTAAAAGGTATTAAACTAATTAACTAAAAAAAAAATAATATATATACATAATATATATATATATATATATATATATATATATATATATATATATATATATATATATCTATATATATATTTATGTATTTGTGTACTTTTATTTACGATGAACCTATTTTATTTGAAATTCTATCTTATTATTTAAATCCATTTAATTATATTACATTGCCGAATTCCAAAACTATCTTTTTTAAAAAATATATTTATTTATATTTATTATTAATTTATATGTATATACAGATTTGTCAAATATTTTTTGCTTTTAAATCATAATATCGCCTACTATTTCATTTTCAAAAAATAATTATTTTTTGAGGAAATCAAAAATTTATGTCACAATTTTTCTCATTTTACTAATTTTTTATATAAAATAATTGTTAATCAATAAAAAAATAAGAAAAATTAAATATTTAAGTATTTTTTTTTTAATATATTTAATTTTTTGATTATTTAAAAAAATAAATTCGATTTTATAAAATATGTTTTTTTTTAATTTTTTTAATTTTTTTTTTTTTTTAAAATCATTAAAATTTTAGCATTCTTTTTATAAATTTTAAATTTTCAACTTCCTTTTCTATATATAAGGGAAAATATTATTAAACAACTTTAAAAAACACACATTTTTATTCATTTAAATAATAATCTTCAATTTATTTTTAATCAAATTTATAATAAGCATCTAAAACATCAATTAATTGCAATTTTTAAATATTTTGTTCAGTCATTTTACAAACATCCACCTCAATAACTAAAGGAAACCCTTTAGTTTAATTAATAAAATTATCTAAAAGCTCAATAATTTAATTGTAATCTCCTAAAAACTATTAATTATTATTTTCTTCGATTAAAAATTAATATTTTTTTAAGATTTCGTTCAAAACTTAATATTATTAAATTTAAATATCGCCACTAGTATAGTTTTAAAAATCTAAATTTTTAAATTTTATCTATATGATACTTTTATTATAATATAAATATATATATATATAAACTTCAAAAGAAAGAAAAATAAAATACTTTTTAATATTTTCCAAAAATTTTATTTCATAATTTTTTTCATTAACTAGAATTTAAATTTTCAAATTAAAAAAACACTCCAAAAATAAATTTTTAACCAAACCATTAAATTCCCCGAAATTCCATTCTTAAAAGTCAAAAAACTCCTCTAAAAAAGATCTTAAATCTCTCCCAAAAAGTATTGCGAATTCCGTGTCTATATGTAAGTTTTCAGTATGAAATTACACTTGGAATTCTTTTAAAACATTATTCATATATTAAGTATCTTCTATACAGTCTTAAAACCAACTTTATTTAAACATATCTAACCATTCTATTCTTTAAGAAATATCTAATTATAGCATTTAGTTTATAAAGTCTTTACAATTTTAAGTTAATTCCTATTTATTAAATTTTATATTTCCTTCTTTTTATAATTTTTTTAATTCATTAATTCCACCTCCTTATTATGGATAAAAAGGTGGTTAACCTTCTAACATTTAATAAACCATACATCCGAAACTCCATACATCGCATTTATGATTATAATTTTCACCATTCAGTATTTCTGGTGCCATAGTAATTGGAGTTCCTGCCTAACTTATGCAAAAATCATCCTATAATTTAACAAATCCGAAATCTGCAATTTTACACTCTAATTTTTAATTTATGAGCACATTTTCTAGTTTCATATCTCTATGAATAATCTTTTTATCGACCATTTATAAAAAAGCTAAAAGAATTTAAAAGGCAAATACTTTCGCAAGTTTTTCAGGAATAATTTTTGCCTTGAAATTGGTTTAAATGAATTTTTGTAAATCACCATATTCACATAATTCGGTTATTATATATATGTATTTGTTTTCAGTAAAATGATCCATAAATTTCACTATATGGTTATTTTATTCGAATGATTGTAAAACCATTATCTCTTAGTCGATTCTTTCTAAAAAATTAGTGTCAAAACGTGTCTAATCGATTCTTTTTATAGCAATTTTCTATTTAGTCTTTTCGTCGTAGCCTATATAAACGGAGGCTGAGGCGCCTTTGCCGATTTTTTCTAAAGATTAGTAATATCTGTCTTTTATTTTTTTGACGGGCATATTATATAATATTATTTTTCTATATGTATTATGTTTAAAATGTTTTATATTAATAAGAATTATTTATATAATTAATATATTATTATCTTTTTTATAAAAAAAATAATAATATAAACTTTTTATTTTTTTTAATAGAAATTTCAAAAAAAATAAAGAATATTTTTTTTTATTATTTATATAAGAATATGTTTTGCGTATTTTTATAAATTAATAAATTAAGTTTTATTATTTTTTAATATTTTTAATTATTATATATAAATAAGAATTTTTATATATTATTATAAAAATATATCTATTTAAAATAATTGAAAAAATTATTTTAATAAATATATAAATATATATATATATATTCTAAAAATTAATTTATAATAGTATTTATATTATTTTTTAATAAATAAATATAGATATAAGAAAAATATAAATAAATTATATATAAACATTAAAGAAAAGTTATTAGAAATATATATTATTCATAAAGAGAGAAGAAATAAAAAAAAAAAATCAATGATCTAAAGAATGAAATTATTTTTATTTTTAATATTTAAAAATATTCAAATAACTTTTTTCAAAAGATTTATTGATTCCATGTTATAACATATACTAATTTTTATTAATATAAAATTTCTTTTATTAAGAAATATGTCCATTATAACTATAATTATTAAAATTATTATTATAATTTTTTTTATTATTATTATTTTATTATATATTATTTTAATTATTTTTATTTATTCTTTATATTTATCTTTAAAGACAATATTTAGGAATTCCTATAGTTTTTTTTTTTATTTAATTATCCATTATTTTTCTAATAATACTTTATAGTATTTTTTTTGGAGCTTTTTTTTATGTACTATTATCTTTTTCTTCAGAAATGTAATCTTTTGTTTATTAATAATTTAATGTTTTATTTAAATTTATTTATATTTCTTATATTTATCTTTTTTCTTCTGATTAACTTTTGCTTATGTAATTGTATTTTTTATTTATTGAATTGTTTGAATTTGTTGAAATAGTTTTTTTTTCAATTTTATTTTGATTTTATTCTAAACATTTTTTTAATATTCTTTTACCTATATTTATATTCAATAATTTATCTATTAAAAAATCAATTTTTTCCTTTATATCATTTATTATATTTATGTCATTTAAAGAGTCTAAACTCTCAAGAATTTTTATATATTCAATACTTTCATATATACCATTATAATTTTAAATAGAAAAATCTAATTATTAATGATTTTTTTTAAAAAAAAAATCACTTTCATTTTAATCTATTATTTTTTATTAAATATAAAATTATTAATTAATATAAGATTTATCTTCATATGAATTTTCATATAATATTTTTTATTCTTGTAAAATATTTTAATTATCTTATCTTTATTATTTATCTGAAAAACTTGATGTTAAATTTTATATTAATGATTATGATTATTATTATTATTATTATTATTATTATTATTATTATTAAATTTATTTTTACAATTTTATTTTTAAATTTTTATTTTCATCTTTTAAATTTTCACATTCTATTTAACTTTCTTAAATTTTATCTTTTAAATTTTAAAAAATTGTCTAAATTTTATCTTTGTAATTAATTACCTTCAAAATTTTCAACTCAGTCTTACAATGAATATATTTTTACTTAAATTCACTTAATTAAATTTATAATTTACTAATTTAGCTTTCTAAGTTTTTAATTTTATCTCTTTATTTACCATTTTCCTTTACTTTTTACGCTGATGAATACCATTTTTAGGAAATTTAAATTCTATCAAATTACAAAGTATTTATTTAATCTATTTATTCCTTATTTGCTTTTTCTAATTAAGAAATTTTTTTCTATGCATTTATAAAGTTTAAATTTGATATATTTAATAAATTTTCGTATTTTTAAAATTAATATTTATAATATTCTTTCTCATTTTCCTTTTTATTTTATATTAAAGAAATATCTTTGAGTTCGTTTTCTTGTTTTTCAATTTTTATTTCTTTTTTTTAAATTTCCTCATTTAAATTATCAGTTAGTTTATCGAATCGTATTTTTTCAGTTAATTTTGTATCTATATTAGTTCGCATTTTTGACTGTTTTAATATATTTTTTTCATTAGAAATTATTTATTCATTTAAAATATTGTTTTGGCTTTATAATTTGGATACTTTTTATAATAAGTTGTTTATTTCTTTTTCATAAATATTTATTTATTACTTTTATTTAATAAAAATTAGAAATATTGATAAAATATATACTTGTAAATGATCTTAAAAATTAAACGGTTATATTGGTGATATATTAATTAAATTTTAATTTTCGTGAAATTTTTTAGGTGTATTATTATTTAGTTTTACTGATGTATTTTATTCTTATTGTATATGTTTAAGTTAATTATTCATTTATTATAAATCTATGCTATTACATTTTAATTTCTTACTTGTTTTTTATTTATTTTAAGTATAAATTATAATATATATTATTAGTTAATTTATACTTGGATTAAGTTAATTCTAATTTTTTTTTCCTATATAAGCATTTCATTTTTTTTTTTTTTTGAATAATAAATAATTATTATTTAAATTTTATAATTTTTTATTGTATTAATAATTATATTTAAAAGCATTTTATTTTATTAAAATTTTATATATAAGTTTTCATTATTTTATAATTATAATAAAAATATTAAAAGTATAAAAATTTAACTTTAAAATTAATATTTTTTTTATATATGTTTTAAATTTTTACGAATATAATATAAATACAACATAATAATTTTTAATTATTTAACACAAATAAACATAAATTATTTTGATTTTAATTAAAAAATAAATAAATTTGGATATATATATATATATAATAAATATAAAAATAAAAATATAAAAAAACAAATTTTTTATAATATAATGATTTGAAAATCTAGAAATTTAAAAATAAAAAATAATATATATATTATAATTTATTAATTATTGTATAATATAATTTATTACATAAAGAAATTTATATAAATACAAAAAATAAAAAGTAAATTTAATATATATATGAAATTGTATAATATTTTAGTCATAATAAATAAAAAAATTATAAGTTTAAATATATATATAAAATTAGTAAATTAAAAATAAATAAAAATAATATATATTTATATATATATATATATATATTTATAATAATTTTTTTATATTATATTTTTATAATTATTTTTATTTTAATATAATTTGTTATCATAAATATCTTTTTATATAATTTTTATAATATATATATAATTATGCATAAATAAATTTTTAATTAAAATATATATATATCCATATATATCTTTAATTTGATAATATATTATAATTTTAAAATTCTTAATATCATATATATATATAATACTATTAAATTACTAAAAACAATTTTTTATTTATATTTATCTTAATAAATTTTATATTATTTTATTTCAAAATATCATAATTATCATGCCCCTATTTATTCTTTATAGATTTAAACTTTGTCCTTTAAAATATCATAATTTTAAAATATATCTCTTAAAAATCTATTATTTTTTTCAATTCTTATACCTTTATAAACAATACGCAAATCCTTAGCTTCAATTTAAAGTATTTAAGCAAGAGAATCATAAAATTATTCTATTGTATGCTATTTATAAAATGTTGCTTATAACTCACTTTGTTTGTAAACAATTTAAAGTTGTAATGTAACCTACTCCTAATTATTATCTTATTTATTTTAATCATGTTAAAAATCATCTTCATCTTCAGGAGCCCACATTATTATTTTTTTATAATTTTTGTTGTTTTTTTATTTTATAATAAAATTAAAATAAATAAATATATATTTTATTAAAATATAAATATATATATAAATAATTAATAGGAAATATATATTAAGTTATTAAAAATATTATATACTAAATTTTATTCTTAGATTATTACGATTTTTTTTTATTTAAATATTTTTTTTTTTTATATATTTTCATATTTTATTTACAAAATATATATTTTTATTATTTATTAAATTTATTTTTGTTTACATGGGTAATTAAACATTTTAAAAAGGAAATGAACATATTTTAAAATAATTAGGTAAAATATAACTTTTTTTGTTACATTTTTTAATAATATAAAGGAAATAATTATCCTGAGGGCGAAAAATTTTTTGGATTAGTTAATGTAATTTTAAACTAAAAAATTAAATAAAAAATATATATTTTCCGAAGAAAGATAATATATGTTATTCGAATTCGATTTTTCAAGCACTTTATAATTGCGAATTGTTTCGAAATCAAATCTTAAATTATAATAGCAAGCCCGTATTTTTTTATTTTTTTTTATATACATAAATAATTTTATTTTATTTTATTTATTTTTTAAAAAAAAGAATGAATATAATATAATTGTCATTGTTTAAGAAATATTTTAATAAATAGCAAATAATAAAAAAAAGACGGGTATATGCAATACTAATAAAATCATGAAATATGTAAGAGATAGTAACCCTGATTTTAGAGGAGACAGTCATTAAGATTGCCATGAGTTTAGTATTTGGCTTTTAAATTAAATAAATGATATAATAAATAAACCATATATTAGTAAAAAAAATATTAAATATAATAATATATATATATATATATATATATATATATTTATATATATTTAAAGAAACAAAGGAAAATCCAAATCCTTTAGAATAAAAATAAGCTTCATGGCTGGAAGATATTTTTGGAGGAATTTTAACTACATAAACTTAATGTAATAATTGTAAAACTGTTACAGAAAGGGATGAGGCATTTTTAGATATTTCTATAGATATTGATTATAATTCATCCATTAGTCATTGCATAAAAAAAATTTCGGAAAAAGAAGTATTAAATTAAGAATGCAAATTTTTTTGTGATAAATGCTAAACTAAATAGGATGCGGAAAAAAGGTTTTTTTTTTTTATATTCGAAAAGTTTTTTAAGTTAAATATAAAAAAAAATATAGAAGTTTATTTAAAAAATTACCAAAAACACTTATATTGCATTTAAAAAGATTTAAATATGATGAAAAATATAATCGGATGTAAAAATTAATGCATAAAATTGCTTTTCCTTTAGATATTAAAATTTCTACAGTTAAAATATTTTATTTATTTTTAATATTTTTATTTTTTAGAATTATGAAAAGAAAAAAATGAAGAAAATATTTAAAAATCTATTGAAAAAAATAACAATGATTAATAATAATAATAAGAATTTTCCTATAATTTAAATTCCGTTATAATACATCATGGCTAAGGCTTATTATATGGACATTATAATGCTTTAATTAAAAAAATGATTTTTGGTTTTTATATGATGATGAAGATATAAATGTAAAAATAAAATATTTTATAAGTTTTTTTAATTTAAATTTTTTAAGTAATAAGAAGAATTCAATATATATGAAATATTTGGAAGAAATGGATGCACTTCTTGTGCTTATATGCTTTTTTATTAAGTTAAAGAAGAAAACTGATAAATGTTTTATATATTAAAAAAAAAAAACAATAATCTATATATATAGAAATTTAAAATAAAAATTAAGCTTTAATATTTTAATTTTAAAAATGTTATTTTTATTACTTTTTGTTTTTTTTTTTTGTTTGTTTAAGATATTTAATAAAAATAGCTTTTCTTAATTTTTTTAATTAATTTTAAATTTGGAAAAAAAAAATCAAGAGAATATAAAAGATTAAATAAATAGAAAAATCTAAAATTAAAAAAAAAAAAAAATTAATATAATAACAAATAATAAATTAAAAAAAAAAAAAAAAAAATTTAACATAAAAAAATAAATATTTTTTTTCAAAAAAAAATAATTTTTTGAAAAAATTTTTATATATAAGATTAATTAAACTTGAAAATAAGAAAAGTACTAAAACTTAAAGTAGAAAAAACCAGTATTCCAAAAATTATTTTGTTTTTCTTTTTTTTTGCTTTAATTTAATTTTATATATTAATTAATCTTTATTCTTCATCTTTTTTTATTTATAATTATTTAAGAATTTATCTCTATTTAAAACTAAATCTAGTTTAATTATAAAAATTAGCAGTTTTTTCATCTATAGCCTCTATTTTGAAATTATTGTTTTTCTACGCGAAATATTAGAACAAAGAAACTTTAGATATATAAATAAAATTAATGAATATATTTGGATTTTCCTATTGTATTTTTTCAACTTAAAAGTTGAAATGAATATCTCCATTAAAAAAAATAAGCAAATGAATATTTTTATTATTAGTTTTTTCTATTTATTCTAATTCTAATTATTATTGGAAATTCTAAATAACTTATTACTTTAATTTTTTCATTTTTTAAGCAGTTAATTTTATAAAACATTAAATGTATACAAAATCGTTAATTTGTATTTCTTATTAACTTTCTATATAACAAGGTACAAGTACATAGTTTTTATTTTGATCCGAAAATTTTTTAAGTTCTATTCTCATCTTATCTATAAATTAAGAAATAGAAAATTATAATTAACATTAAAATATTGTTTAAAGTATATAATTATTAAAATTTTAAAAATAAAATGCTTGTTTTTCTAAATCAAATATGAAATATTATGAAATATATTCATCTATTAATATTTGGTTCAAATATTTTTCTAAAAATTCGGTTTCAATTTAGTTAAATTAATCCGAAACACTTCTTTCGCTTAATTTTGAATCTGATGTACGATTGTATATTTATTTATTAATTTCATTTTTATTGAAATTAGTTTTTAAATGAGTATTCTTTTTTTATTACATATTTCTTTTTAGTTTTATTTGAAATTAATTAATATTTAAATTTTTTTGTATTTAATTATTAAATTAATTAATATAATTTAATAAAATTAAATATAATATATAATAAATAGAAAATTGCATATATATGAATAAATAAATTAATATATATATATAAATATTTATATTAGTATTATATATATTTTATAATAAAAAATTGCTATATAAATAATTCTTTAATTAAAATTTTTATCAACAATATATTAATTTATTACAAATTTATTTATATATTAATTTATAAATATTTAATATTAATTTATAAAATAAAATAAATTAATAATGTTTTAAATTATTATTTTTACTGTATTAAGAATTTTGTATATATTATATAAAATATTTGATATTAATAGTAATATTTTTGATAATTAAAATCTATTATTTTTTCTATAATTTTAAAATGATATTATATTTAATATTTTTTTTTACAAGATAATTTATATGTAAATAATATTAATAATAAGAAGTATTAATAGCAATTGATTGTGGATCAGATAAACCTTATAAAGGCTAAAACGGTATATTATATAGTCCTGTAACACTCTATTTTCTAATAGTTATTAAATTATATTTTTAATAAAAAAAGGATGTAATGTATTCGAAAAATACAGAATTTGCAGATTATTCATATAATTAATCTTTAATTGATAAAATAATAAAATATACATATGATTAAAATATATATAAAACAGAAAGATATTCTAAAGAATCATTTGCATATTGTTTACCTATCTAAGATTTAGGGACATATACGTTAATATTAAAGTTTTGTGAATTATATTATAATTAAATAGGATAAAGAGTATTTAATATTAATATTGGATAAAAGACAATACAAAAAAATTTAGATATTGTAAAAGAAGTTGGTTAGTTAAGTGCATTTGATTTATATATTGAATTGGAAATAAAATAAGGATACGAAGTGTTTAATAATAAATAAGAATTAATTAAAAATGCTTATGACAATAAAAATTAAGTGAAAATATTAAAATATTTGGCATTTATTTTATTTTTTTTAGTGTATTCTTGTAGAATTTTAAAAAACAGCTTTTGATTATCCGAAAGTAGATGCTATTGTTTTATTAAAAACAAGTTTAAGTTAAAGTGGGTATAGAAATTATCAAAATTTAATAAAAAATTGGGTTAAATAGGAAAGTATTAAAAATAAAGATGAAAATTATTTAAAAGTAAATTCTAATTTTAAATATAGATAAGAAATAGATAATATTATTGATTTCGAAGTATTAAAACAAAATTATTAGAAAATAATAAAAAATATAATATATAAAAACATATATATATTTATATATATAAATTTATTCAAAAATTTAATATAATTTAAAATTTTATAGACTTATAATTAAAATAGATATGATGGAGTTATCGATATCTTATTTTCTTGTAAAGGAATTCTTATATTTATTATATTATTTATATTTTAATTTTGTTTGCTTTGTACTGAAGATCCAGTAACTAAAATATATTAATTATTTATTTATATAAAAATAAATAAAAATGTTTATATGTTATTATAAAAATATATCTAATAATATATATATAATAAAATAAAAAATATTTTAAATCTTACATATATATATATAAACATATATATATATATATATATTTATATTTATATTAATCTTTTATCTTTAAATAAGGATGAAGAATAGTTGTCTTCATAAATAAATATGTAAAAAAAATGAAATAAATCAGAATTATAAAGAAAAGAAAATTAAATGAAAATGTTTTTATTTTCATTGAATATATTTTAATTTTATTTTTATATTATAATAAAATCATAATAAATATATTTTAATTACAAAAATAATATAACATTTTTATATTAATAAAAAAAATTAATACTATGAAGAAAAAAAAATTTTTAAGTTATATTTTTATAGAAAAAATAAATAAAAATTTTCTATTATAAAATAAAAAAAATATTTTATATTATTATTTATATCCTCATTTCATATTTTTCATTTATCACATGCAAAATTTTCTACGAATTCCTCACATTTCTATATTCCCCAACTTTTCTAACATAAATCAGCAGATTTACAGCAAGTTTTAGCGTTTTCTCCACAAAGTGATCCTTTTTATTAAATGCATTTCTTTTCACAGGCAGGGTTATTATAGAAGTTTCCTTCGCATTTATAAGTATCGATTTTTTCACTACAACTAAACCAACCACATTGATTAGGCTTGCAACAATATCCTTTACATAATGTTCCTCCTACATTTTTGCAAGATTATTCGCATCTAGAATCAATTGATAAACGTTTTTAAGGGTATGACGTTTAAGAAAACAGCAGAATCTTCGAATGTAGAATCATGGATGAATACTAAAGTACCTACTAAACATACAAGTAATAGTGTAAAAAGTGTGTAGTTGATTATTTTACGCATTTTTTTTTATTTTTATTAATATTTTTTTAAATAAAAAAATATATTATATAAAATTGTATATAGATATTTTTAAATATATTTATATATATATATATATATATATATTATTTTTTTATTTTAAATATATAAAATATTATTTTATTTATTTAATAAATACATATTATAATTTATATTTATAAGTTGTTAATATTTTATTTAAATTAATTGATAATATTTATTTATTATATATTTAATTTTGTTAATATATATTTTTTTTAAATTTATTTATTTTTATATTAATCTTTATAATGATTAAAATTACATGCTGAATTACATATTTTATAATATAATAATAATAACTCTTTTTAATATTTCTTTATTTAATTTTTAAAATAATATATTTTTTTAAAATATTTATTTAAACATATTCTTTAAATATAATAAATTTTTTTTATTTTTATTAATAATTTTTTATTTTACCTGACTTTTAAAATTATTAAAATTTTAATATGAATTAAAAAATATTTTTATATTACAAATAAAAAAAACTTAAAAATAAATTAAAAATATTGAATTTCCTTCATTTAATTATAATATATATAAAAATTAGAATAAATAATATTAAAAAGTTATATTTTTTAAAAAAAGATCATGAAATTTAATGTAAATAATTTTTTTTTATAAAAAAATATTAATTTAATTAATTTTTCTATAAAATATATATATAACATAATTAATAATAAATTTAAATTTAAACTATCAATAATTTTCTTTTCAATAATAAATAGTTTTATTGTATTAATTTAATAATCTTCCAAACATTTAAATTAATATATAAAACTAATTCTCAAATCAAATAATAGTGAATAAAATTTATTTAAATTAATTTTTTATATAATTAATTAAAAAATTAAAA